TGAGAAGGTTATTCACACACCCAGGAAAGTGGGAAAACTTGCAGAGGACAGAGAATAGAAAAGATGGCTGCTGAAAAAGGTAAGTATATGCAGTCTTCTTTATGCAGGTACTGTTTACGCAGAAAGTGACCTTCTGCTGACAGGAACTGCTGTTGGTGGCAGTTACTGACCTGGAATAATTATGTGCATATATGACAGCTCTTTAAGCATGGATACTCATTGATAAGAGATACATTAAAGTAGAACTCCACATAAAACTGCTGAAGAAGCTACTTGTCTGGCTGTTATGCTGACTCTTTACTTTTAGAGTGATATTATAGCTTTGTTTTCTTTTTACGTCTAGGAGACCCACCGTTTTATAAATCTTCAGTTATTTTTCTATATAAAAATGTTGTTCCTTGTTTTCTAGTGGGTCCTCGCAGCGCTTTCCTCCCCGCCCCCTGCATGGGTGCCTTCTGGAGCTAGGCAGCTGCTGTGGAGGCACCCGTGCATGCACGTTCCTGGCTGTGCCCGCAGAGGCTGTGTGCATCCATAGACACAGACAGCCCTGTGGCAGGCCACGCCTCCCCTCTCTCTCTAAACGGTGATTGACGGCAGAAGGAGCCTATAGCTTCTCTGCCCCCAGTATCCTCCACCCGCAACCAGGAAGGATCGCTTCAGGGATTGGCTGCGGTGACAGGTAAGTGAGGGGGGGGGGATAGGAGGAGGACGACAACGACAACACACGAGGAACACAAAAAAAAGTAATGGTCGTTCTTTACCTTAATGTAGAGAATGCATTAAGGTTAAAAAAAAAAAAAAAAACAATCAGCCTTTAATACTACTTTAATATTTGGACTTATTGACCCCCTGAAAGCATACATATCGGTAAAGTCATAACTCTATCAGTATACTTGCTTCTCATTAGTGATTGGAAGTACTGAAGCAAGAGGTTCAGCATGATAGCCAGGCATCCAGCATTTTCAATATACTCAGCAATGGCAACCACTATGTTTCTTTCCAGAAAGGTTTTAGAGGTGACAGTAGACTTTAAAAGGCGGTTGGATGTGTATGCATGCAAGGAGGGGATAGTGAAAGAGATGGGGTCTTTTTATCACCCAACTCAGTGGGGTCAGCGATCTCTTTTAGTTACATCTGTGAAGGTTCTCATTTATCTAGGTCATGGTATATCTGTAAAAAGTATATCAAGGCAACTGGACTGGCTGTATTTTTCTTGAAGACATTCGCTTGTCATCCGACTAGCTTTCTTGTAGTTACTCTTAAACATGACCAGCGTGGAAGACTATCATCTCATGTCTACAGAGAGCTTTAGTTTTGTCTGTGTCCCTGGTAGTGGGCCTTCTTGGACATTTGGAATCTATTCGATACAATGGGCTAGATATAAAATGCCATTTAGCAGAATAATTTGTGCCTTCACGGAAATCTATACAACTTCCTAGAAAACCATTATACAAAACACACCAAATCTCCCCATAATCAAGACTTAGAAGAAAAGAATAGGGGCTTGAATGGACTCAAAGGAAACTACAACCAAACATTTTAACTGCAGCTGAATACAACACAAAGGGAGGTTCTGTACCACATCAAATATAGATCCATTTGGTTATAGTTTCCTTTGAGTCCCCAATCCATTCTTTTGAGCCCTGATGGAGGGGGAGCTTTGGTTGTTTTTATGTGGTGACACATTGAACACTTTCATGTTGTGGCTTGGTGCCCATTTCTACATCTGTACATAGAATACTATTATATCTGTCTTAGGTAAGTTTATTCTTCTTAGGTTAGCACAGATAATGTCCTATTTTCCAACACTGTGTATGCCATGCCGCAAATCTCTAAATGGAGAAGAAAAAAAAAAAACCATCAGTCAGGGAACGCACAGGTTGGCTATTAAGAAAGTGGTGAATATCTCTTTAACTCAAACAAGTCCGGATTGTACATCTATGGAGCACAATGTGCCTGCTTATAATAAATGTGCTAGGTGGAAAATTGTTACACCGCGGTAGTGATTATAAACTTTATTCAGAGATTATGGAACTTTCACCGCAGCATGTCCATGTCCTTACTTTATATGTTTTGTTCACTCTTTAAAAATGTTACATAAAGTTTACACAACTCACAAGAGATGGATAAGAAGTAACCAGCGCCATACGTTTTGGTGTTGAACAGATAAAAAGTTGCTTTATTGACAGGACACCATCTAGTGGCCAAAAACAAAAACATGAGTTGATTACCTGATAACTCTGTTTCCAGGAAATTTGTTTACCATATTATGGTAAAGTATAAGTTCTCAGTTTGACAACAGAAAACACAAGGCACTACAATTAACCTGCTGGTTGCATCATATTTAAGGTTTCTTTTCTGCCCTCTACAGCATCACAGTTTATTTTATCTCACTTGGCTGCAAAGTGTTGGCCAAGAGCATCGAGTTCCATCTCTCATTAGTTTTGTTCATTGGCACATAGCACAGGGTGATATTTTTATGACAAACTGTACTGTCAGAAAATTGGTCTGGACTATGTCAGATGATTCCCTTAAAGTAACACTAAATTCAGGAGTGAAATCTTACAAATGCATTCAAGTACCTTAACTATTAACAAAAATGTATCTTATTTGTGTATCACTCGGCTGCAGATCCTCAAATTATCTCTGAATTGGTGCTGACACTGTCCTTCCTTCATGGAGGGTGGCTAATTTTGTTCCCAATGGTCCCTGTGTGTCGTAAAGTAGCCACTGCTCCAAGCTCACTCCCGTGATGGACTACAATCTCAATACAAATGAGTAAACTAAACATGAGATTGTAGTCCATCACGGGAGTGAGCTTGGAGCGGTGACTACTTTACAAACAGTAGAAAGGCATCATGGCACACTCACAAACCAACATGTAAAACAACTTGTCTCACCACTAAGGACAATGACAGAGGTTTGGATACACGTCTTCTGCAGAGGATGTGTAAGCCGCACTGCCGCGCCAAGGCACCTCTTATAGTGCGGTCCTAACTCTAAACTATGAGAGTCTCCATCTTGGAGAACATGATGCCTTTCTACTGTTCAAAGCCCATTTCGTTTAGAGTTAGGACCGCACTATAAGAGGTGCCTTGGCGCGGCAGTGCGGCTTACACATCCTTTGCAGAAGACGTGTATCCAAACCTCTGTCATTGTCCTTAGTGGTGAGACAAGTTGTTTTACATGCTGGTTTGTGAGTGTGCCATGATGCCTTTCTACTGTTCTACTGTTCAAAGCCCATTTCGTGTGCACCTTACTGTATAACTGGTAACAAATTGTTGAGTGCGTTTGTCGTTTGTTTTACTTTACAAACACACACACAGGGACCATGGGGAACAGAAGTAGCCACCCTCCAGAAGAAGCACCAATTCAGAGATGATTTGAGGTTCTACAGCCAAATGATACATAAATAAGATACATTTTTGATAATAGTTAAGGTACTTGAATGTATTTTTAAAGTTTTACTGCTGAGTTTAGCGTCCATTTAAATGGAGACAACATGTCCTAGAACCCTTATTGTCAGTAAAAACCAGGTCACAGCAACTGCATAGTCAGATACACTTCACTACAATCTCTATACGGTGTCAGTATAAACACTGAATTATACCCATCATAGATCTACACTCCGATGTGGAATCACACGTTAGGGTTTAGATTTATACTGTATAATAGATCAAGGATTCAAAATGTGTCCATCTGAATACAAATACTTTAGTTCTGAATGAAGGGCCATTAAAAGGAGAACTATGAGGCGAGTGCTTTTCACTCACCTCATAGTTCCAGGAGACCTGTGACAATGAGACTGTCACAGGTCGGCTCAGTAGATCGAGAAGTTAGCGAACACATACCGGCGTTTGCTCACCTCTCGATCCTGTCACAGCTCTCTGCCGAGGCAGGGGGAGGAGCTGGATGCCGTGACGGAGGAGAGGGCGGGTACAGCTGGCTCTGCCTCAAGATAGGCAGAGCCAGCTGTCACTCACGAAGCTGGGCGGATCCACACATAATTGTTGAGATCCGCTTCAGCGTCTCAGTATACGGCGAGCAGTAGCTCGCGGTATACTGTGGCGTCTCAGTATGCCACGAGCTGCAGCTCGCGGTATACTGAGCTTAGGGTGATGGGAGGACGCTAGTTTGTGTCCTCCCGTTACCCTAAGGAGGACTATGGGGAAAAGCCTTAACCCCATAGTTCTCCTTTAATGAGACTGATATGTAAACATAATGATCTCCGGCAACGCATCCCCCTCCAGTGTCCTCCATTCCTTGCTCCCGTCAGCAGACTTTACTGTGAAGTGAAGCAGAGACAGAATACTGACAGGTACAGAATGATGGAAGGGATCAACCAGATTTTTCTCCATACTGTGTCTACAGCTAGGCTCTGGAAGGAAGTACAAGTGATATCAATCTTCTATTCTATCCAGGAAACACTGCAGCAGTGCTACAGTGTATAGCATTTCCTCATGTATAGTTTTATACAATCCATTGCCATGAGATTTAGAAGGTTTTCTAAAGTCATCTGTAACCCTTGTCAAGAGATTCTGTGTTATGCAACCTCCCTCTTATGGTCCAACGTATCCAAGTTAGCCTGATGTGAACTGAGTGAGCAGGCACTGCTGGATGTCCAGAGAAGTTATCTTTGTAAGATATTTTCTTCATATCCACATTAAATTGACTTTTCCAGTTATAACAGAGTCAGACTCACATAAAAAGGCTCTACTGTAGGGCTTACCTAATTGCAATTCCACTTCTGTGACACACCCTGGCCAGTGCAATGACTTTTTCTTCTGAGACGCCATCCACTCGGTCCACTGAGAAGCTAACACTGATCCATACACTAAATGTCAGGAAGAGGCATTGTGCATGGCCCACAGGTGAAATAATGCAATAACACAAACCCTACACTTAAGACCATTATATGTGAAAGTCCGGACCTGTTAACCTGGAAAATGTCAATTTATGAATGTATTATTCTCCATAAAATGATAGGAATTTTGTAAATCAGATCTTCAGTGACACAGTTCCTCATCTTCTATAAGAAAGTTTGTTTTATCAGAGGAGTGAAGTTTCTATAGCCGCAGTTTGTTATCCTTCGCCTGCAGAGCTTTCACAGCTACATCTGCTTTCTGCCGCAGCAGCTCTGCTTCCTCTGCGCTCTTCTGGATGTTCTTCAGCAGGAAATGGGAAATGAAGAGTTTTAAGCCTTCACGCAGCATTCCAAGCTTGGGATTGTCAGAGACTCTGATGGGAAAACAGACAAGTCCTATAATGACAAGCAACTTTAAATGTATCTACTGCCACATGGCCATCTATGTATTAAAGTGCTCCCTTCCTACTGTACAGTCATTCGTTGGGACCAGTGACTGAACTGACAGATCTCACCTATGGTGCCACCTGATGCTGAATCCTGGCTTTGTAATACCTACGGTTAAGTACAGTGAAGCTAAATGGCTGATATAAGAGGCAAAACCTACATGTAAATGAGGAATACTACTAATGAGCAGTAGGGGCAGCCTCCAGACCCATGCAGGTCAAATGCTTCAGGGGTACTTGCAACATCTTAGCCTCCCAACATTGTCTTGAACCTTGACAATTAGTAGGTTGTTTCCCTCTCAATGACTTAAAGGGACACTGTCATGAAAGATTAATAAAGGCTGCCATTACTGAATCCTCCTTTGAGAATACTAGTTTACTGGCTGTCATTCTGATACTTTAGCTTCAATGCCGAGTCGCTGAACTAGACTTGTATAGGTGTAAGTAGTTCTGACACTTCTCTGGCACTCATTTACATGCTTGTTTTGGGATTATGACTGAAACATACAGAACACAAACATAGCCAGACATTCATAAGGAGGTCTGCAATGGCAGCATCCATAACTTTCTCATGCCTGTACATCTGTCATGAGAGTCATATAAAGGCCTGCCATTAGTGGTGTCCTTCTGAAAACGCTTGTTGCCTGCCCTAATTGTGAGTCAGACTAAGAAAAGCGGCAATCGTTAGAGAAAATGCTGCAACTTAAGGAGAACTATGGGGTCAGTGTTTTTCCCCATAGTTCTCCTTAGGGTAACGGGAGGACACAAACTAGCTTCCTCCCGTTACCCTAAGCTCAGTATACCGCGAGCTACAGCTCGCGGTATACTGAGACGCCGCACCTGGAGCGGATCCCGACGTAGATGACGGGATCTGCCCAGCTGCGTGAGTGACAGCTGGCTCTGCCTATCTAGAGGCAGAGCCAGCTGTACCCGCCCCCTCCCCCGTCCGTTCCGCCAGTCAGCGCTGGCAGATTGGAGCGGGGAGAGGGGAATCCAGCCGAGAGCCGTGACAGGATCGAGAGGTGAGGGAACCCGGTATGTGTTCCCTCACCTCCCGATCTACTGAGCCGACCTGTGACAGTCTCATTGTCACAGGTCGGCTTAGAACTATGAACTATGAGGAAATCACTCATCTCATAGTTCTCCTTTAAGAGAAACTGGCAATGCCTGACTACATACTTCTTTCATAACAGGTTTGCTGTAACTTATCACTAAAGTGATATTAAAGTCAAAATGATTTTAAGTTAATTTCAAATGCTGATGAAATCACTTACAATGGATGCTGCTTCTTTATGTTTAAAAGTTTTAGTTTCCTGCAGAAGCAGTGGGTTCCCTGAGCACTGGTCCTGACTTTCTGTTTTAGAGTGACTCCTTAAGCAGAGTGCTATGCAGTCACCCTTGTATGCGCTAGTAAGCTGTTTATGACTCCACAAACACACAGACCGCAAATCAAACTACTCCCCTCCCCCATTCTCCAGCTAGTAGATGAACAGTTGCTGAAGTCTGGACTGTCCATTGCGTACTGGGCAGAAAGTTCAGGGAAGCTGAGCTAAGAGACTTGAAAGCAGCTGTTCAGAAACATGATTGTAAGTATTTTAGCATTAATGTTAAAGCAATGCTTAGGGTTGCTGGACAATGTATATTTGTTTGATCTGGACTCATTATTGAAAAAAAAGTTTGAGCGTTTAATACTACTTTAAATATAAAATGTCAAAATTTCAATAGGTTCAGGTCACAGTTATGCTGTCTACAGGACATACAGGAGACATGTTCTGGACACCACTGTCTGGGAGAATTCTAAAATCTTCAACCATTCCTATCCATTCTTAGGAGCCAGTGGAGTCAACTGACCCAACCTTCACAGTGTATGCCATATGTAGGTACAAACATGCGTGTGCATACGTGGCCAGCAGGGCACACTCATTGGACAGTGGACGAGTGGAGGTCTATGCCCTAAGGTGTGGACTCAGTAGTAATGTGCAAGATGGAGCACAGGATGGGTTTTGGGCAAAAAAAGCCAACAGCAGGCTGTTGTGCCTTACTTACACAGTCTTATAATTATGGAGTGGAGGTCAGGGTTACTTTAAAAAGTTATAGTCAACACCTGAGAGTATGTGAAACTTAAAGGAGAACTATGAAGTCAGTGAAAATCACTCATCCACATTAGTTAGGAGTCGATGTGTGATAATGAAACTGCGGCTCAATAGGCCGGGAAGTGCGCGAACGCATATCGTCGCTCGCTCACTCACTTCCCGATCATATCCCTGCAGAGAGTGGTGACCGTCAGTCACGGTTCCCTGCAGGGATTCCCCCCTCCCCGCTGTGATCCTCCAGCACTGACTGGAGGAACGGACGGGGGAGGGTACAGCTGGCTCTGCCTTTAGATAGGCAGAGCCAGCTGTCATTCACGCAGCCGGGTAGATCTCGACAGCATTGTCGGGATCCATCCCGGCTGCGTCGGTCTCAGTATACCGCTATACACTGAGCTTTGGGTCACGGGAGGACGCTAGTATATCTCCACCCATGACCCTGACGAGAACTATGGGGAAAAACACTTACTCCATAGATCTCTTAAGCATGCAAGTATTAAGGGCAATACAGAAAATAAAATAAATTGATACTCTGAGAATTCCATAGCCAGCAGAATATAATTTATATTTAAGTATCTGATCCTACTTACTTTCCAAATATTACAGCAAGATCTTCGGCTTCAGCATCCAACAGCACTCTGCTCAGAATCTGACGCAGAAAAGAGACTTTCGTTTTATCCAACTCACTGAACTCTATGACCTGCATAAGATGTAAAAGAGAAATATAAACCTGAAGCTGAAAAAGCCGCACCATATAAATAGGACTTTCTGTAGGAACAGGAAAACATATATACACATTACCAAATAAAATAGAACAAGGAAAAGGGCAAATGCTACGTTGCTCTTAGCAAGGGAGACACCATTCCTACCTTAAAAATAGAGAGTGGAAGAGATTTCTTTTTAATCAGGTGACTCAAGAGCTGGTTGAGATTGGAGAATGTGGCTGCTGACAGACTTCCCAAATCCCGGAATTTATCCCACATAGTGAACTGGAATGTCATCTGAGAGATCATACAAATAAAAGAAATTGAAATTTAGGCTCAGGTCCATACAACTACATTAAAGATAATCTCTACTGTGAGAAACATGGCGGCTGAGGTTTCTGACATTCTGAAAAAGCCAACTGCTAGGCTGTTTTTGGTTTCAGTACTTCCTGAGTCACTGAGCTTGAACAAAACTGAACTGTTAGAAAGTCAGAACTTGCAATTCACATACTGGTTTAAGTTAAGTGGCTCAATGTACACCTATAGTAACATAGAAACCAGGCACCTAGCGTTTTCAGAAGGACAGATTAGTAAAGCCTTATATAATTCGCAACACAATTTACTATCGCAGGGTAAATTTGACAAATAAAGCCAACGCTCATATGTACTCAGCTTTTTCTGGAACGTATCTCAGCATTGGAAACTTACTAATATCACAAAATGCTGAGTGGCTGCGAAAGCTGTCAGCATCAGAGTGGCTTAGGGGAGAACTACAGGTTATTGATGGGGACACAAAATCCAACAGTCATTATACCTTCCTGAATGGAAGTGTATTCCATCATACGTGGGGGCTAAAAAAAAAATAATAATAATAATAATACGCACAGGATACTCTGCGCTGTGTTGCACTGTGGTGCCATTCACAATTGAAGGCATTTCAGCACTAACTCTATTAACCACTTGCTGACCAGGGTGTTTACACCCCCTTCCTGTTCAGGCCTTTTTTCAGTACTCAGCGCTGCGGTACTTTGACTGACATTTATTCCGTCATGCAACGCTGTAATTAAATTAATTTTATACCATTTTTGGGGACAGATAGAGCTTTCTTTTGGTGGTATTTAATCACCACTGCAGTGTTTACATTTCAGGCTGATTTCCCGCTTGTGCGCGCCGCCTAGCAGCGGGCACGAGCGGGGTGGGATGGGACGTTAAAAAACGCCCACCCGCATTCAAGAAGCCGCTGTCCTGCCGTTTAATTACAACGGCCGGACAGCAGGTGGTTAATGCATGTTATTTTAAAGCTTAAATTCTGTAGGACGTGTGCACACAAGCACTGTCTATGTTCCTGTTCCTGAACACTTCTTAGTAACCAGTGCAATAGAAGAGCACTTAACCAAACTGCTAGACATGCAAGTGTTCATAGTAACATCCAAAGAGTCATGCATCATGACAAAAAACAGGCCACAGTATGGTCTGTGTTGCTACTACAGCTCTGGATTTTGTCAAAGCTTCCTTGTCAGGTCATAGCCCAGAGACTAGACTTTTTACACAAAGTTTGTGTATCCTGTGCAGTCACTGCCACAAATGACTCTAAACGCTAGTGGTGAAATGCAACCACATAGAACTTATTTGCCTTTAGGATTATTCCTGTGTGTTGAAAAGTCTGAAGTATTTTCAGCACCGTGCTAGCCACAACGTTAGCTGAAGACTAGCACTCTGGAGACATAAAGCTTTCTTTTTATGTCATTTGACTTCCTTCTCAGTTCATCTCATCTCTGTTCTTAAAGGGAAATTTCACCTTAGAAAAAAATAAATGCACATTTCCTTAGAAAATGAAAAAAATGTGGAATTATTTCTTTTTAATAGCAGCCAGTAGAGCACTGCACCCACAATAAGTGGAACGCGGATGCAATACTCTGGCTCGTGCAGACTCTTCACCCCTCTATGTCCGTACCTATAACAGTAACTTCCTTCTGAGGCCATGTATTACCTGAAACCTCCTGTCGTATTCACAGAACTTGCTGGCTAGAAATGCGTAGAAGGGGTTGTAGAGCTTCTCCTGCAAACAGCAGTCTATAAGGACATGTACAATCTCTCTCTCCTGATGATCTTTCAGACCGAGCCTAAAGATGACATAAAAGTGTAACTATGAATTAAAAAGAGTACAAATATTAAAAATAAATAAAACGAGCATATGTAAATGATAACATATAACCATATCGTGGATCTCCAACTGTTGATGGATCACATTGTAGGCAATTCCTACCAGTCAGAGCTAATGGAAATATCCACCCTGTAAAGGCTACAGACTGCTGTGACGTACCTTTAATAGGACAGATAAACCCGTTCAGGAAATGCAGTTAGAGGGTACAACAGTATTGGAAAAATAAATTTCACGCTTCACACCCCAACAAATGAAAAGTTTGGGTCTGGATGGAGCTAATCTTTGAAATTATAAGCACCAAGCACCGTGCTTTCCAACACCATTTTAGAAAAGGGGGATACAAAAAGGAGTGAAAAGAAAGGAATGTAAAAGTAACAACATTACAAGAAACTTAAGTGACCCTGACTATAAAAAAAAAAAAGCCAGTCCTGTAAAAAAATACTATATAGCCCATCTATATTTACCTTTCTAGCATCTTGAAATGTCCTCACTTTACAGCTCCAAGTTTTCAACTCTTCTTGGTGGGTACCTGTTCCCCCCACCACACACAGTGGTTCCTCCCACCATCTTGTACGTCCTGCAGAGAGACATTCAAGTCTGCATGAGGAACAACTGTGTGCAGCATTAGGAGCAGGTATTCACACACCTGGAATTGTGAGATACCTCCACAGGCTATGGGGCAGCATAGTTTCAAGACATAGGCCACTAAAAAGGAAAGTATAGATTGGCTTCTTTTAAGGGGCTGGCTGCTTTTATGGGTGACCCTGTGCTGACAGGGTCCCTTTAAGAGAACAAGAGCCCAGAATGCCTGTTTATGGCATGTTTTTAATATTTAAGGGGTTTGGGGGAACAGGCAACTGAAGTTCTTACAACAGGTCCACTTCACCACAACCCTCCAAAATAACTCACTTCAGCAAATTCTCAAAAGCATCCAAAAAGTCTTCACTTGTCATGATAACACAGAAGATGTTCCTCCTGATGTCTGTGTTCATCCGCTGCTTGCGGGCCAGATCCATGATCTTCGCACTGACCTTAACAAAGATGAAAACACATTATCGTACATGTATTTCTGTACTGAGAAAATACAGAAGCTGCCATTACTAAAATCATCTAAAATGCTAATTCACTGGCTGTCAAAGTGAACCATTGGTTTTAATACCTGGCCAAAAACATGCATGCAGATCACGAGTTCCGAGTTCTCTGTCTTTGCTTCCTTCCTTGATTAATCTTCATGGTCAGCATTTAAGAAAACAAATGAAGCCACAGAAAGCCAGGAAACCAGTATTTTCAGAAAGAGGTTAGTAATGGCTTCTTCTAGACTTTTATCTGTATAGGTTTCCTTTATGATGTGGCTTAACATCCCTTTATACTGTTATAATCCACAAAAGGTCAGTTTTCATTGCCAGGAGCCTAGTGCAGTAGTTCCCAGTGAGGGGCTTCCACTGCCAAATAAAAAACACTGACTGCACTGATCAATGAGAATCTCTTCGTAGCCTTCTTTTTTCTGGGTTGGAGGAAAAAAAAAAAAAAGAGACTCTTATTGGTCAGCGCACTCACGTGTCCTCACTGACCAATGGTCACTTGCCATTGGTGTTTAATTAATCTCTTAAAAGGAGAACTACAAGATGAGTGCTTTTCACTCACCTCATAGTTCTAGCCGACCTGTGACAATGAGACTGTCACAGGTCGGTTCAGTAGATCGGGAGGTGAGGGAACACATGCCGGTGTTCGCTCACTTCTCGATCCTGTCACGGCCCTCTGCCGTGACAGGGGAGTGGATGGATTCCCCCCTCCGATCCGCCAGCGCTGACTAGCGGAACGGACGGGGGAGGGGGCGGATACAGCTGGCTCTGCCTCTAGATAGGCAGAGCCAGCTGTCACTCACGCAGCTGGGCGGATCTCAACAGCGATGAAAAACTAGGAGTCCTGCACCAAAAAGTAAAACATTTTCCATACCGTATTTGCCGGCGTATAAGACGACCCCCTACTTTTTGTGTTAAAATATAGGTTTTGGGCTATACTCGTCGTATAAGACGAGTATATCCCAAAATAATGTCTAAATGCACCCACTAACCTCCATGGCGGTATTCCAGAGTGTGGCTCGGGGTTAATTTTCAGTACCATAAGCGGTAACCCCGAGCCACACTCGGGATTACAGTCTCTTACATTGCCCACGATCCCCGCTGTGTCCTCCGTCTTCCGTCCCTTGCGAGCGTCCGCGTCGCAGGGGGGCGGAACCGGCGGCAATTTTAAAAAGTAAAAAAAAAAAAAAATAGAACAAAAAAAATTCAAATAAAATCATCAGACCGCCAGGGAGGCTAATCCGTCAGCCCACTGGATGTGTGTTAATACTGTATGTACGGTAGCTTCGGCTACATACAGTATACCGCGCTGAGCCAATCACGGCAGGCTTTGTATTCATTACTACAGGCTTTGTAATCATGAATACAAAGCCTGCCGTATAAGACGACCCCCCCGATTTTCGGGCGATGTTTTTAGGTCTCAAAACCCGTCTTATACGCCGGCAAATACGGTATCCCAATGCTGAAAACTAAAATATGCCCCCTCAACCTCCTATGCAAAGTGGAAAGTCAAACTTTAACAAATTTATATTGCTCTGGTAAGCCCAGAGTAAGACAGCATTTTAATCCCCTCGGACACTGACTGCCTCTGTGTTACTACACAGCAAATAAAGATGGCAGGCCTTCATCTCTATAGTTTGCGCCCCTGAAGTACAATTATGCAGAGGCAAACTGCATCCAGAAATATCAAAAGGTTTCCTGACCTCGGGCAAGGGGGAGCAATGGAAACCTCATGAAGTAGCATGGGGGGTATGCTTTAAATTGTATACATTTGCCATTTGATAAGGAGGGTTGGCTTGAATCTTCAAAGCTGTGTTTATCCTTTAAAGCTCCCGCCTCCAGAGAGAACAGACCAGTGACCTTCTGGAGCAGGCACCATATGTTATTATAATTCAGAAGAAAGAACTGACAGGTATTTAGGCCCAATCACACATTACCCCAACTCACCAGCTTTATGTGCGATGCCATCCATTGTGAATGTCGAAGCACACAGGGCACACCACAGCGCACAATCTTTGCTCTGTAATGTGCTTCATTTCTAAAAAGGTTGTGTATATTTTTTGATCCATTTTAGTGTATTGGCAGCCAATTAATAATTACTTCAGGTAGAGAACTGCATAATCAGATGATTTAGCACATATACTAAGCACCCGCACTTTGTGACTTTCCACTGTGCCAAAAAAATAACTACCTGGATATTAACTACACAGAAAGAAAGCAAAATACAAATGTATTACAACCAAAAAAGGAATTCATGATGACCCTTGAAGATATAAATACAGTGAAAAAAAGAAAAAAGCATAAACTATATTGTGAAAGATGTATTTAGCCATATGCAGGTTCTGCCGAGAACATAAAGCTCATATGGACGGTATGTTTGAACTATAAGAGCATCTCAGTAAATCTCAATGTATTCTAGATTTAGAGGAAGGAAAACAATTGTTATTCATACAACATTTATGGCTTGGAGCCTCACAATTTCCATACCTTCCCAATGGACTGAGTTGGCACCTTCCCTGAAGAGTCATTAATCATTGGTGCTCCGCTCCATGATGACCCAACAATCCACCACCTGCCAACTTTTTCAGCTTCCAAGAGGTTGTCCAATGTCACACGTAGACGAGTATCGCTGCCGGACACACTGCGGTGAACCTTTACAAAAACGGATCAATCAACAATAACACTATATGACAACACAATATGATCACAAATATAGACTACTGTAAGAAGATTGGAAACATGAGCGAGAATCTGAATGAATATATTTCATGATGCAGCCATTCTGAACTACTTTTCTAATGTAGGTGTGTTGCCATTTTCTAACTAAATGCTACAATCAGAATGGCCATACATGGCTGAATTCAAGCCAGATCTGAGTATAATGAATGATGACTGAGTAAGAAGTGGGCTATACAAGTCTTCCACTGCGGCAGTAGCAAGATTTCCTGACAGCTAGGAATGCTTGGTATTGCACACAGAAAAGTTTCAACTTGTTGCCCAATTGGCACTGATCCTTCCCTTTTCTGCAGACTAAAGAACGGGAGGGGTTATTCATGTGTATTCTTCTAAACAAAGTGATCCAGGTGACACAAACAGGTTGGGTATCAAGGACAGGCAGATGCCTCACTACTAAATATTCGCCCGTCCTAATAAAAATTGGGACCCTCACTTTTTTCTCACCACTGGTTGCCCCACCAATGGTCTGTCATTTAATATTGACTTTACATTTTAGAAAATCAAGCCTGGTTTAAAACAAAAGTTCTGTATAAAGTCTAAATGATTCTTACCAAAGATCGTTGTAATTTACGCAGCTTTTCCACAGGTTCAGGATCATAGCCTGGTATCTTGCGCATATCATTGTTCTTTAACGCGAGCATCGTCTCCAACATAAATTTAACCTACAGGACCATAAACATACAAAAAAAATAAACGACACCGGCTAAGAAACCTAAAAAGGGTTTCTAAACCTTAATGTGCAGATTCAACTTATGTAAACTATTCAAAGAAAAAAAAAAAACAGAAAGCAATGTCATGCATAGTCCATAGAAGACAATTACAAGTCAGGTTTCATTAGGCTGATCACCCTTTATGTTCACCTTTCCACAAACACAGTGAGGGGAATTTATCAAAACTGGAGCAGACAAAATCTGGAGCAGCTGTGCATGGCAACCAATCAGCTTCTCGGTTTCATTTTCAAATCTTAACTGAACACACTGAAGAGAGAAGCTGATTGGTTCCCATGCACAGCTGCTCCAGTTTTGATAAATTCCCCCTCATTGTGATTAACAATAAGACTACATAACACATTATGATCACAAATAAGGGCTACTGTAGAAAAATAGGTTCACTTTAGTTTGCATTCCAGAATGATTGCAGGATGTTTAACATGAAGGTTATATGTGAAATGAACAGTTTCCCAGCTCTGCTCCCTTAGATACAAAAGATCATGTACGACTGACTTCAACTTGTTACTGCCGATTTAAATTGGTGAGGGTGGAAGCCAGTAAATCATTTTGGGTGGACCTGCCCTTCAAGCACAGACCATACATATAAACTTTCAGTCAAGGTATAATGAAATCTCAGGCCAGTAATTGAATACGTAAGCTGTTTGTTTTTACCCGAGTCTGATCTTGGGAGTTCTTATCCACAACATTTGCCTTGTTTTGAGCCTCAGTAATCAGCTCCTTCAACGCCAGAGCATCATCCTTTCTCAAGGAGAAGCCAACGTTTTTCAGAAGCAGCAGGATCAGCTCTATGTTCCTCTCTGTGAATGTGGACACCAACAACTTCAATATGTCAAACACCAGGTGACAGTCCATGACGTGGAAGTTATAGAGGTGTCCTATGAAGATGAGCAGGTTATCACACTCTTTACTTTCACCAATGTCTTGATGTAGGTCATGAAACTGCTTTACAACCGATTCCAGGATATGAGCACCCACCTGTAAAGAAGGTCACAAGGAGGTAATAAGTTTTCTCTTTGAAGGAAATGTACGACATATAAGACATAGCTTCAATATTATGGTCAGGGCTCAAATATAAAACTGTAGTTTTTTTGATTACACTAATATAAAACAATGCATATGAATATCTCATACCACTCTTCAGCATTTCTGCTAATAAGTTTACTGCTATGCTGTGAGTAGCCTATGTTGTAAATAGGTCCGAACAACAAAAAAATAAATTGCACACACACCTGAAATAAAAAAGGTCATACCCTCTTTCTCTCCCTGTTTAATATTTAGCACTTTCATCCAGCCTTTGATATGCAATGCTGCTTGTCAACGGGTTTACAGGAAGGGACAGGCATTCTGCTGAAATCAGTGGAGTTGAATGCTATTTATTGGACTTGGAAGAGAGGTTGTGCAGAGCCAGGTATGCCATACAGAAAAATCTCTACACAACTATGTAAATATATTACACAACAGACATGCTGGGGGAGGGAGAGCCCAAAAAAGATAAGTACATTATGACCTCACTTATCCTCTAAGCTTAAAGCTGAACTCCAGAAATGACAGAAAAAAAACTACCCTTGCAGTGGTGTCCCCACACTGCAGGGATTAAAGGTAAGTGTATTCTGGGTGTAAAGGAAAAAATACTTACCTTACTCCTCGCTCAGGCAGCCTTGGGTGCTCTCCTCTGCTCTCACCACTCTGGGTTATGTGTCAGCCTTTGCTGTCCTCATGTGCAATGCATGACTATCGGTCCTGCATTGTACTAGATTACTTCAGCACACGTCCACCGGCCAGATCGCCTCAGAGAAGAGGCTTCGGGGAACTGGCCATACAGGTTATAGGGAGCAAAGTTTACGGTAAGTATTACACCTTATTACTCTACCCCTAGACTTACCGAACATTTAACCCTTGCAATGTAGGGGCACCATTGCAAGGGTAATTTTTGGTAATGCCCAGAGTATAGCTTTAAGAAGCAACTGCAGAAAACAAGAAAATTCAGCCAGTGAACTGCTAATGCTATCCACCACAATGCTGCTTAAAGAGGAGCCAAATTAAAAAAGAAAACAAATCTAGCAAGTACAATTTTTTGGTAGAAGAGACTATGTATGTCTCTCCTACCAAACAATGAATGTATTCTGTCTGCTAGCAAAATGTTCTTTGTGTACACAGACTGCAATCCATACACAATGCACACTTCCGGAGCTGGGTGTCAGGATGATGTCATTTCATGGTGCATACACAGGAGTTTTATCATTAGTGGTTAGCCAATAGCTGAAGAAAGAAAATGCCAGACGGGGAAACAAAAGTAAAAGTTGGCAGCAGCAGCAACAATGCGGCAAGGAGGAGCATGGACCTAAAGTGACTAGAGGCCAAACTAGGAGGGGGGGGCATGAAATCTGCCATAACGTGCTGCACATAATTACACATTATGGCGAATGTGCAAGGGACCGGCTGCAGCTTTAAGTCTGAAAGACTCCCCGATTTATTAGGAATGTGATCTGCATATAATCTATAGCAGTCAGATTCAACAGGATTTTAAAAGTGCACCCAGGACAGGACTACAGTCTCTTTTAATGTGACCATTCAGTTCAACCTTCCAATCTGAGATCAGCAGACCCAAGGGACATGCTGGTCAGTAAGTTTCTAGCTCCCAAACTAAGGTCAAGTCCTTCTGGGCATGATATTACAAAGACTTTGCACTTCATTTTAAAATTGTATTTTATATTAATATAATATATGCAGGTGGTTGTTGCCAAATCTTGTTACCTCGATCCCAACTGTATGATGTAGTATACTAATGAGGAGCACGTGTTCCATCATCAGTCGGTCTGGCATTTTGGCTGGTGTAATACAAGCATTGCACAGAACGCTGGTTACAGTATCATTCATGTCCTTTCTGCTGTTGGTCATGTACAGTTCCTCAAGCTGTCCGCTGATAGAGGCCATGTTTGGTTCAGTCAGTCTAAGGAAGAAAAGAAAAAAAGATTAGGAAGTGATGTGGTGCATTCTCTTACAACATGTGGAACTGATGACTAATGTTTGGGTAATTTTGGTTTTTGTTTTAGACAGAGAGTGTGGAAGGGTTAGACCTCCTGTCAGGTTTTTTTTATTGCTTTGTGTGTCCACACTGGGTGGGATTCTATTTGTGCTGATGGCTGCTGTCATCAAGCCAGAAAGTGAAAGGAAATTTGACCTGTTAGAGTTGTCACCAGAACAAGTGAGGGGAAATTCCTGTTCCTATAACTACTCCCTAAGATGGGAATTTTATGGGAGATTTCCTCTCATTTCCTGTTGCATCTCCAGAAAAGGAAAATAAGGGAATTTACTCGGCAGCATAAAATAACCTGATGGGGTTTTTAACCTTTTACTAGGCTATACAAAACCTTTTACTAGGCTATACAAAATGTATACCGCGAGCTGCGGCTCGCGGTATACTGAGCCTAGGGTGACGGGAGGACGCTAGTTTGTGTCCTCCCATTACCCTAAGGAGAACTATGGGGAAAAGACTTAACCCCCATAGTTCTCCTTTAAGAGTCTTAATGTACCTGTTACAACTAAAGTAAGGGTTTAATGTAATAAAAAGGAGAACTATGGGGTTAAGGCTTTTCCCCATAGTTCTCAGGGTAACGGGAGGACACAAAACAGCGTCCTCCCGTCACCCTTGGGTCAGTATACCGCGAGCTGTACCTCGCGGTACACTGAGACGCAACAGCTGAAGCGGATCCCGACAATTGTGCCGGGATCCGCCCAGCTGCGTGACTGACAGCTGGCTCTGCCTATGTAGAGGCAGAGCCAGCTGTACCCGCCCCCTCCCCCGTCCGTTCCACCAGTCAGCGCTGGCGGATCGGGGAGGGGGGAATCCAGCCCCTCCCGTCACGGCTGAGAGCCATGACAGGATCGAGAGGTGAGCAAACGCCGGTATGTGTTCGCTCACCTCCCGATCTACTGAGCCGACCTGTGACAGTCCCATTGTCACAGGTCGGCTAGAACTATGAGGTGAGTGAAAAGCACTCACCTCATAGTTCTCCTTTAAGTTTTATATTAACCTGCATGTACAACCAAAACATGTATTTTTCTGCTGGATAGAGAAGAGAAGGGGTTAAACCTTCTGTCAGCTGACTTTTGCTGTCAGTGCACAATTAGGGAAATTTCCTGTCCCAGAGATGCATTCAAAAGTTGGAGGAAATCTCCCAGTAAGGCTAAAATATTGCGTTTCCCCTCACTTTCTCAGTGAGAATGGTCACCAGGACAAATAGAGAGGGTGAACCTCCCCATTAGGGACACAGCAACTGAAGTCAGAAACCCTGATTTGCATACTTGTTTTGATTCTGTGACGCAGAATGTACTGAAGCAGTGTGACAACCAGGTAGCTTGCACTTTCATGAAGAGGTCAGCGATGCCAACCTATATATTCTCTCAGTACTAGTTTTCTTTAATGGTTCCGGCAGGGGGATAGTTACATGCAGGGGTGCTGAATTCCTATTGCCCGACACCTGGGACATGCAGTTTCGGGCACCGGGCAGGTGTTATTTTTACTGTCTCTTTGTCCTCCATGGGCACGGTGACCGTGTCTCCTTAGAGGATCACTAAAAAAAACCTAAAATTTCAAATACATACACAGTGCTCCCATCCATGTCAATTTACAAGGAAAGCTATAAACTGAAAGTGAACTGTAGGATCGTGGTTCTAACATGAGGTGTCAGACGTCCTGCAGTGTTTCCGTCAGCAAGGGAGCAGCATTGTGCTCATGCGACTTTCAAGGAAGCAACGTATGGAATCAGGTGTTTATTCTCTCCGCCCTTCTTACTGCCAGTGTGCTATGGACCTAAGTGTTCACACATTGAAGAGTGTTGGTAGCAACCTTTCCTCCACTAATTACATTTCAGACCTTAGACTCACATCATTTCAGGTTAAAGAAGAACTCTGGGCAAAATTTGTATTAACCCTTGTAATGAAGCTATCCCCAGCACTGCGAGGGTTAACTGCTCATTTTGGTCTAAGGGAGGAAAATAGCAAAGTTATACTCACCTGATCCTTCGAGCTGGCTGGCTGTGACAATGCTCCCTCCAACCTGCCTCCTTCTATGCGCCAGCGCTGGTATGTGCCTCTGCATCCTCACGTTCTATACGCTGTGTATAGAACACGATGACTAATGGACCTTAGACTGCTGCAATGAAGGGGGAGCGAAGCTAGAAGGACCGGTTTAAGAGCAAACCAACTCTGAGGATCAGGTGAGTATAACTTAGTTGTTTTCCTCCCTAGACCAAAATGAGCAGATAACCCTTGTAGAGCACTGCAAGGGTGAATAATAACTTTGACCGGAGCTCTTCTTTAAATTTTGAGTAAAGGCCCACTTTAACATAGCTGAAAGCAATCCTTTCTTCTGTGATTTGATGCAAAGCCTGCCTTTCTGCAAGAAAATCTACAGCCAATCAATCATGAGCTGCTTAACATTTAATTAAGAAATAGAAAAGAATAATATCCAGGTAACTATAATGGTCTCAGGACAGAGATGAGGATGGAATAAAAATATCAACTTCCAGTTACAAAGGGTAAACTCCATACATCACCAAGTGACCCGCAGCATCCGCGCACAACAAGAGAGTAAATTAATTAGCGGGGGCCTGTGAGTGATTTAAAGTCCGTGGAGTTTCATGCTGTCAATTAAAAATATGAACTATAAAGTAGTTGATGCACTCCAGGCCTGGAGCCAAGACACGGCACACAACTCTAGAGAGAGGACACCATCAGTTAGGTGGATCCGTCATGTGATACCTGTTCATCAAGCCTTTCACGCTCTTCTTCAGCCTCTCCAGTTCTTCCCTCTTCTTTGCGTCTACAACTTCAGAGGTCTGTCTTAGCTGGGGAGGGACATACTTCGTGCCCGCGTCTTCGGAGTTCTAAGAAACAATTATAGGAGGAAACATTTCATCGAAGAATAAAAGCATTGACCTAGCAAGCCATTAGATCATTCCTGTACAAGAGACGGACAATATCTAACCAGTTATCACAAGCAAAATACATTTCCTCTAATCCATAGAAGTCACTTTGTGTATACATCCGAACTAGGAACTGTTAAAAGGAGAACTATGAGGTGAGTGAAAAATCACTCATCATAGTTCTAGCCGACGCGTCACAATGAAACTGTCACACGTTGGCTCAATAGATCGGGAAGTGAGCGATCACATATACCGTCACTCGCTCACTTCTCTATCATCTCCCTGCAGAGAGCCGTGACCGTCAGTCATCGCTCCCCGCAGGGATTCCCCCATCTCTGACCCCTCAGCGCTGACTGGAAGAACGGAGGGGGCGGGTAAAGCTGGCTCAGCCTCTAGATAGGCAGAGCCAGCTGTCACTCATGCAGCTGGGTGGATCTCAACAGTAATGTCGGGATCCGTCGTCTCAGTATACTGCGAGCTGTAGCTTGCAATATACTGAGCTTTGGGTCACAGGAGGAGGTTAGTATATGTCCTCCCGTGACCCTAAAGAGAACTATGGGGAAAAACACTTACCCCATAGTTGTCTTTTAAAAGCAGAACTATATTTAAAGGGAACCCGTGCCCAGATCTTGCATAATCTTACCAAGCTGTAACAGCACTTGAACCCTTTCACTGCCACCAATGTAAGCCTTACTTCGGCAGCAGCACAGCCTCACACACTCCCAGCTGTAATAGTTTGTGTACAATTCACAAGCTGATCATCAGTTTCTGGTAGAAGTGATCACTTCTACACCCCCCGAAAATGCTGTCGCCCCCCTTCTCCTGTGTATCCCGAGCTACATTGGTTGGTAGAAGGCAGGATTCCGTAATATCCGTCTCTACCATAAAAAAAGGAATATGGTTTGAATAAAAGAAGCCAAATGAGGGTATTTTTAGTTACACTGAGATTTAAGTGACTCCTTCATGAAAGTAGTATGAGGGGTGCCATTGTTTGCCTCCTTATGAAATGCCTGGATGTGTGGCTACAGTACATCTGAATCACAGACCTGAACATACATTATTTAAAACAGAACTCCAGGCATGCATTATTTATTTATTTTGCAGTGGGGTTAACTGCTTGTTTTTGCCTAGGTTCAAAAAAGAAAAAAATGTTATACTCACCCGATCCCCGGCTGGCTGTCACATCTCCTCCTCCGCTGTAGAGATGGTATGTCCCCAAGCATCCACGCGTCATATACACAGTGTATAGAACATGATGATTTATGGGACCTTGGACCGCTGCGGAGGAGGGGGAGCGAGGCTCAGGGGACCCGTCTAAGAGCAAGCGGCTCTGAGAATCAGCGAGTATAACTTTTTTTTCCAACCGAGACAAAGACGAGCAGTTAACTGTTGCATTGCGGGGGTGGCCCCACTACTAGGGCTAATTCAATTTGTGCCCGGGGGGGTTCTTCTTTAACAGTAGTGTCAGAATTCCTTACCTCTATAACTGTTCCAGGTCAGCAACTCAGAGAGCATGGAAGTCATAGGCATCAGCAAGGCGACTGACAGCTACAGGCCAGTAATTGCAGCCTTCATTATCACGACAGTTTCCTTTTAAGTAACTGTCACTGAGATATGGCTTTGTATGCGTGTCGCAAAAAAAATTAAGAGCAACTAAAGACACTGCGTGAATTTATCAAAATTGGAGCAGATCAACCAATCAGCTTCTCTCTTCAGTTTGTTCAGTTAGGATTTGAAAGAGAGAGAAGCTGACTGGTTGCCATGCACCGCTGCTCCAGATTTTGATCAATTCCCCTCAATGTAACCCTGTTTGAATTTGACCACAGTCCTCAATAAATTAAGTATTATGACCAGACTGGACTGTAGGCTGGGGGAGGGGAGCTTTTAACAGTCTCCTCACAATGTACTATGGTATCAGCAATTTAAAAGTAGACTATAATGATTTTGCTTTATTTTATCTTATTTTTAACTCATACAAAAAAGGTAAGAGACAGATGCAGAGTGCCCCCTAGAATTTGTTTTCTGCTCGGTAGCATAAGAGTAGCCGGGTGCAATGGAAACTCTGTGCAACCCTCTATGTGATAGTCCATAGGAAGCTGCGGCAATTGTATTCGGACAGTTGGCCCTGCAGGCTGCCAAAATACCTGAACAATGCCTAAATCTGATTGGATGCTGGCGTTGCATGGCTGACAATTTTTTGCCCGGATTTTTAAGTCAAAAGGATGTTGGGCAGCGGACTGGGCCACCCACTGAGCGAATTTCGGCCGGTTCATTATGAATCGGCCAAAATTCACTATGGGGTCTATTCACGAAGCTGCCGAGGGCAGCCGAGTGAATGACCGATCTGAAGTGAAGTGAGCCGAACACTGTTCAGCTATTCACTTCAGGCTGGTACGGCTAATTTCAGCCGTACATCGGCTTGCTTCGTGTGGCTTCGGGTCAGCCGAACATGCTCAGCATGTTCGGCAAAAAAAATCGGCTGTTCTGCTCGGTCCCTCAGAGGCACCGAGCAGAACAGAAAAACAGTGAAAAAAGTTTAAAAAGTAAATAGCAAACGATTGTGCGGAGCTAGCAGTGACAGCTAGCTCCGCCCAATAGTTTCCTATTGTCCGGCGGCTCTGCTGCTGTCAAAAAAAAAAACACTCCCGGGCGATCTGGGAGCCTCCTGCTCCCGGCCGCCCAGGAGAGAAGCACTGATGTGTCCTTTTTTCTTTATTCTGACACGATCGGTCAGAATAGAAAAAAAAAAAATAATGACATTTTCCCATTGAAAAGCATTGGGACATTACTATTGGCTATTTCACTTTGCAATATGATGCATATGCGTTCGGCTCGGCTGAGCCGCTCGGCCATGATTGGGAGCTGTACGGGCTATTGTGAATAGCCCGTACAGCAGCCCTTCGGTTCTACTGAACCGAAAGGGGCCTGGAGCCGAAGCTAGCCGAAGGATCGGCCGAAGCTACGGCCAGATCCTTCGGCAGCTTCGTGAATAGACCCCTATGTGTTTATCCAGTTTTACTCTTTAAGAATACCTCAGGGGTCTGTTAGACACCTGCTCTCTCTTTTAGCCTCCAGCCTATACAACCAGGGACACAGAGCCCCCAATATGCTACTACGAGACTACCACCTGAATGTGACAGTTTTGAATTTGGACGTGCTTAGAGCTGACTGCTTTGAGTCTAACCCAAGCAGAGGAAATCAATGAATGGGACTTCACTGATCTCACATCTCCCTGCATTCTAAATCCCTCTTGAGGGCACCACAAGGGGGGATTGGGAGGAAGAAGCAGGGTCTGCAGAGGCCAACCTAGGGAAATATAATCTTTATTTAAGGAGAAAAATTAAATACAGATGCAATTGTCAGCTGGGCTTGGCTGCCTGAGGGAAAAGGACAGAATGGACACGAGTAAGACCGATGACGATGTGTGCAGTAGATGCAGGGACTCACAAGCAGCACTGACAAGAGAGTGACAGTCACGGCTCTCTGCACGGATAGATCGAGAAGTGAGCGAGCGTCGGTATGTGCTCGCTCACTTCCCGATCTACTGAGCCGACCTGTGACAGTCTCATTGTCACAGGTCGGCTCAGATTATGAGGCTGAGTGAAGATCACTCACCTCATAATTCACTGGAGCGGCCCCTCACCCCTAATAAGCCCTCCTAGCATAACAAAAGAAAGAGAAACAAGTAGAAATGTAAACCCTTAAAGGAGAACTATGACATGAGTGATTTCCACTCACCTCACAGTTCTAAGCCGACCTGAAAGTCAAGAAACAACAAGCCAAGAAAAAGCAATTTATACGGCAAGAAGCATTTATAAATATTTTGAGCTTATCCTATGTGAATGAGAACATGTAACAAATATAAAGCAGGCGATATCCCAATTTGGTTGCAAAAGTGGAAATACAAAATGAAGCTTGTGCCAGGCTGTGCTACATTATAAATACCTCCACCAAATCCTACCTCATTAGCGACAGCCGGTTCCTCCTCATCTCCACTGTCTGACCCATGCTGTAATGACTCTTCTGCCTGCTTATCTTCATTTTCCTGGGCAGCACTATCTTCTTCATACTCATCCTCTGATTCATGTTCTGCGGCATCATCTTCCTCACTTTGCTCCTCCAGAGAATTACCCTCATCATCCTCCTCTGATAGACCATCCTCGCCTTTCTCTTCCTCTTCCAGACCATCCTCCTCCTCACTTTCCTTCTCAGAGTCTTCCGTAAAGAGATTTTCTGAGAGTCTCTGTATCTTCTCAGCAGTGTTCTGCTCCTCTTCTTCCTCCTCATATAGTCCAGACACGGAGCTACCAGGCTCCAGCACCCCCAGGATGTAATCCAGACCATCCTGAGCGAATGCCTGGGGCAGGGAACTTTTGTTTTTCCTCTTATTCATCCTCAGACTCCTCTCCAGCTTCTTGATCTCCCTCTCCTCCTTCTCATTGGCCTCCAGTAGAGCCTTCTTCCTGGTCTCCTCTCTGCTCATCTTCTCCTTCTTCTTCCTCCTCTTCTTCTTGGCTTCTGTCTCAGGCTTCTTTGCTCCGGGTTCCTTCCCAGCAGATCTCTCCCTGTCCTGTCCATGGTCCTCTGGTCCCTTGGCTGAGGATGTGTGAGGAGCTTTGTCCCTGTGCTGAGCATCTCCTGATGGTTGCCCCGGCTCAGCAGAGGGCTGTGAGCTCAGATATCTCCTCTGATAGTATTCTTTCCTCCTGAGCTTCTTGGACAGACGCTTCTGCTTCCTCAGTTCCTTCCGGCTCTTTGCTCTCCCTCCAGTTGCCGAGTGTCCCCCCGATACAAGGCTACTGTTCTGGGATGCGCCGCCCTCTGCCTTCTCCACAAACGTCTGGACTGACAGCTGCAGCTTCCTAATCTTTGCCGACCCAGACTGACCCGCGACTTTCCGCTTCATCTTCCTTTTATTACTACTTATATATTACAGCATAGAATTAATAGCATGGCAAATACTCAGCACTCACGCCTCCTATGGGCGCCGCCATGTTGGGGAAAATAAGCAGCTTCCGTCCTGTGGAGCGGCCACGGTGACGTCATTACTGAGCAGTTCCGGCACAGCGCCTCCTGCTGGACATACCGAGCTCTGCTTGTGTCAGTTCTAATGAATAGCCTCTTAGTAGTATGAGAAAGTAAGTGATACTGTGAGGTGCTCTCTGGAATCTTTCTGCAGGAAATACAGATACATTTTATTCATGTAACTGAATTAAAGCCTATGTATAGACAAACTTTATTTTTTGGGATAACATAGTTAAAACCCATCAAGTTATTTTTTGCTGTCTTCATACCATTGGAGAGATTTACCTTCACCTCCCGACCCAGGGATAAAACACAAGGTTAGAGGAAATCTCCTTTACTTGTTTCATACATTATTCTATTTCAGGTTTTTCAAGATAATACAACAGGGCAGATTAATTAAAATTGTACCCATTAGTATTTTAACATTGCAAAGTATGAAACAGGATCATTTGGAATATATATAGATCTGGGATTGTAAAACAATGAGGGGAAGTACAAGGGTCGCAGTATGTTAGGCCACAATACACATTATATTCAGTTCTTAAAAGATCTTTAAAGTGACACTAAACTCAGGAGTTCAATCTTAAAAAATTAGTATTCAAGCACCTAAACTATTAACAGAAACGTATCTTATTTGTGTATCACTCGGCTGTAGATCCTGAAATCATCTCTGAATTGGTGCTGACACTGTCCTTCCTTCTGGAGGGTGGCTACTTTTGTTCCCCATGGTCCCTGTGTGTGTTGTAAAGTAGTCACCGCTCCAAGCTCGCTCTAATGATAGACTAAATCTTCAGAACAAATTAGTAAACTAAAGATGAGATTGTAGTCCATCAAAGAAGTGAGCTTGGAGTGGTGGCTACTTTACAACACACACAGGGACCATGGGGAACACAAGTAGTCCCCCTCTAGAAGGAAGGACAGTGTCAGCACCAATTCAGAAATGATTTGAGGATCTACAGCCGAGTGATACACAAACAAGATACATTTTTGGTAATAATTAAGGTACTTGAATGCATTTTTAAGATTTTACTCCTGAGTTTAGTGTCACTTTAAATAAAAACATGGTGTTGGTGTCAAAACTATAGTAATGTTAGGAACATTGTGGGTTATTGGTTCAGATGTTAAGTAGGAAAAGGACTAAGGGAGGACTTGGTACCAGTTAGGAGAACAGGGGAAGAAGTTGCCCATTTCCGGTTGAGGAGTGGTAATAAAACAGCAAAAGTAGGGTGCGGTCAAAATTAGATGGTAAGTATTTATCAACCTAAGGTTGCCAGGTGGCTAAACAAATTTGTGATTCTGTCACACAACTTTGCTTCTGTTTTCACATGAATGATTATGTCATTAATGTGTTTGATCAGCCTTTCTAAACCAGGGTGCCATGGCACAATGGGGTGGCTCAAACATTTCACACAGCGTCATGTGTTTCCATGCTACAGGCAGGCTGGCCACCAGCACCATGAAAACGAATGGCAGTAATCCAGGGAGAGTGGGGTCCATTCAGAAAAGGAAGTTTGCCTCCGTCCAGGCCTGCTCTGCCTCCCAATCTCTGTTATGCTCCTGATTTGATGGTAGGACACTGATATGGAGGGGGCTCCAAATGTGAAGGGGGAACTCTGATATGAAAGAGGGGACTCCAATATAAAAAGGGGGCCCTGATGTGAAGGGGGGATACTGATATGAAGGGGGGCTTCTAATGTGAAGGGGAGCTCCGGATGTGAAGTGGGGGCTTCTGCTGTGATGAGGATTCCTGATGTAAAGGGGGGCCAGAGACAGTGAGCCGCATACATACAGGTCTGTGGCAATCCACTTTAATGGGGTGATGCAATGCATTGAGTAGGGAGCTGTGTGACCCTGGGAACTCTGAACCCATGCAGTGACTGTGAATTTTTGAGCTGTGTCCTTTATATGAAGGAATTAAGGGTGGGATTGTGGAAACAGTGCAGGCTTTTCTGTAGATGTGGTCTACCATATATAACAGTATAATATAGGTGTCCTTTTTGTGCTCGTTCATACACACAAGCTAGGGCCAATTTAGTCAGGAGCCTATTAGTCTTTGGAGTGTAAGAGGAAACCCATGCAAGCACAGGGAGAATATGCAAACGCCACACAAATAATGTCCTGACCAGGATTTGAACCAGGGACCCTCAGTACTGCAAGGCAGAAGTACTAACCCGTAAGCCACTGTGCTGCTCATGTTATAGCAAATCATATAGAATATCATTTTGGAGGGATGCTCATACTCACCCAAATGCTCCGATACTTACCTCTGATACAGGAACTTTGGGTAGTGCCAAGGGAGCATGGTGCCAGCTTCCTTTCCAATCAGGAAGCCGGGCGGTGGGTTATGACATGCCTCCCGGCTTCCTGATTGGCTAGGAAGCCAGCTTCACGTGATGCTGAGCAGCCTGGCTTCCTGAACAATCAGGAAGTCAGACAGCACCTCATGACTCGCCACCCAGCTTCCTGATTGCTTAGGAAGCCAGGCAGCCTCTCATGCCGGTGTTCTTTCGCTAGAACACCGGCTTCACAGTCAATCAGGAAGCCAGGCGACGGGTCATGATCTGCCGCCTGGCTTTGTGATAATCGGGGCACAAGGTACCAGTGCTCGGTACTTGGTATTGGCGAGTAGTGGAAAATAAATATCGGTATTGGTGCATCCCTATCATTTTTTCATATAGAACAAGGTTTTAAACTATTAACACATATCAGTATCATTATTTACATGATGTTTGTCTGAAAAAACACAGAAAAGACTGCACATTCTCTTCAAATATTAATGATCTTAGGAGGAAATGTTCTGCAAATCCAAAATCCCGAAACCTTGTGTCCAAACCCTGAAATAGTGTACAGGACCAGTAGAGTTAAATCTAAAACAGCCGAGAGTCCTTCAGATCTATTCTAGGGATTTAGCAGCTTCCAGCCCCAAGATAATAGAACATTGCAAAGCCTGTATTGTGCAAAATATGACTTTACCCAAAGGAAAGAAATTTCAATAAAAAATACATTGTAGCAATAAATAAAGGAAACGTATGAAATAGGAGGAAGTGAAGAGTTTAGCCGAATGGAGCCATAAATAAAGAACGTGGATCTGCCATGGAGATTGCTACTGGAGTGATGGGCAAAGTCGAAAAAAGATCAGAAACTTATTTTGCACGTCCTTGATTAACATTCAGCTGATTCCGCACCGAGAGCCAATCCATTCATTACAGTTAATGAGACAGCATAAGAATGTATAGATTAAAAAAACGCTGGTCATCAGACTTTATTAGTCACCCACTATAATTATTGACAGGGATCAAGGATATTAAGCTTCAAAGAGGACCACTTATTATATTAACACTCTTGAGAGGTATAAAATACATTTTGATTTAATTAGAATGAAACAGCCATGATTTCAAAATAAATCTTCCCCCTATATTTCCCAAGTATTAATTCGATTTCGGTATTTCCTATCTATTGCGAACCTCCATGAACAGAAGATAATTGAAACCTGCATTATTCTGATGGGTTCTAAGTTGAATCGGTTAAAATGCCATATGGTCCCGAAGCTTTTACCCGTCTGACCTTGGAAACATAAGTGTGTTGTAATTATGAATACTACATGTGGAAAAACTTTCATCTGCCATGTAATAGGACATTAAAATCTATGTGTAGCCAAAACAATTTTTTAGCTTTAGCTAGAGCAGAGAAGGGTTATAGGGTGTCTATGGTCATAAGCTAAAAATAAAAATGTAACTCTACAGTAAATTAAGTGTTAATTTTGACAGCAAATTTCAATTTAGTCTTACAGGTCTATTCACAAAAGGGTGAAGAGTTTGGAGAAGGCAGGAGAAGTGAACAATTGAGGCTTAAATAGCTGATTTAGAAAAATTCTCCAATTCAGCTCACTTTCCAGTTCAGCTACTGTATGTTGTCCTGGATTGTAAGTCTAGGCGAACCGAAGGGCTGCTGTAAGGGTTAGTCACTATAGCCTGTACAGCACCCGAAGTCGGCTGAGTGGCTAAGGTGAGCCGAAAGCATTTGCTTTGGCTCGACTGAGCCAAAGGGGTTGATTTACTAACCTTATAAACACACCACGAACATGTATACACCTCTGTAGTGTGTTCCCTCCCAGCATGATCTATGGGTGGAATCTAGACACCTTTGTAGTGTGTACACACCCAGCAGGTGTGTTGTGCAAAGCCAAGCATGAATTGCAAGGTGATGTTGTATAAATTAGCTCTATGTTGTGTTGCTTGCGTTGATGAATGCAGGAATGTAAATGCATGAGCTAACCATTTTTGTCTAAACTGTGAAGCAGCATTATATATGCATCATTTGCATGATTTTTCCATATATGGCATTAGTGGAAATATGCTTTTAGAGACTTTTTGGTTGATAAATACGTTTTGCTGTGTAAAAATAACACGCACCTAGTGCGTGCGTGTGTTTAGGTTAGTAAATCACCCCCAAAGTGTCAGCCGAAGCAGGGCGAACGGCCAGCTGAAGGCCAGCCATTCGCCCTGTAAATGACACCTGGGTGGAGCCAGCCGTGTTATCATGGCTGGCTCCGCACAGTTGTAATGACAGATCAGCGTCCCCAAATGACCTGAGGATGCTGAACTGTCATTAAACAATAATAACTGAGTGGAGCCGGCGGTGACGTCAAGGTCGGCTCCACCCAAATGTTACTCATTGGCTGGGACCTGCTAGAAGACTCTAGCAAGTACTGGCCAATAGGAAACAGTTGGGCGGAGCTAGCTGTCACTGCTAGCTCTACTCACATTAAAAAAATTATTTCTTTCTTTTTAAAAAAATCTTTATTTATTTTTCAATTTTTCAACATTTTAAAATTATTTTTTCAACTTTTTTTTTTTTTTCAAACTATTCTCATTGATTTGCTATTCTGCTCATTACCACGGAGGAATAGCCGAGCCTATGAGAATAAGGGGCGAACGGCAGCAAATGCGCTGCCGGAGCATCGACTCAGCCGATCCATATGTTGGATCGGCTGAGTTGAAGTCCTTCTGCACTTCGGCTCAGCCGAAGATGCAGAGCATGTGACCGAAGTGCAGCCGAAAGCAGCCGATGTACGCCTGATTTTAGCCGATGCACGCCTGATTTTAGCCGATGTACGCCTGATTTTAGCCGATGTACGGCTGAAATCAACTGTACTGAGCCGTAGTGAATAACCAAACGTAGTTCGGCTCACTTCACTTCGGCTGGGTTATTCACTCGGCTGCCTTCGGCAGCTTTGGGAGTAACCCCGTTAGTCTTTTGACTAAAATGCCATTTTAGTTATAGTCGTATTTTAGTCATCTGAATAGTTTGAGTCTTAGTCTCATTTTAAATAAAAGTAATTCAACGGCACACATTTGAAGGGTTTTTAAAGTATTGATAAGTGTCACTGTCACTCTGATGAAGGATCCCGAAACGTTAGCACCGTATGTGACATTGGGTATCGAATAAACATATCAATACTTCAAAAACCCTTCAAGTGTTTGCCGGTGAATTACTTTTATTCACTATCAGGCCCCATTCACACTGCGTGATTCGCAAATCGCGCGTTTGTCGCGCGATTTGCATTTTGCGCGATATCGCGCAAATGCTTGCATTGAGCAAGCTAGAATCGCTGCAAAATCCGCTCCAAAAAGGGTCCTGCTGTAGCGACGCACGACCCGCGACAGCAGGACCCTTTGCCCCATTGCCAAGCATTGGAGAGCGATATCGTGCGGTAAATAGCTGCGATATCGCGGGAATTACCGCGCGATAAATCGCTCAGTGTGAACGGAGCCTTAGTGTTTTGCACGGCGCCATCCGTGTGGTCACCTGGGCACCACATATACCTCGTGGTTTTGAGACCGTGGCAGTGCAAATGGGATTTGGACTAATTTTAGTCGACTAAGGTGTAATGCATTATTTAAGCAAGTCTCTAGAATTTCCAAAGTCATGATATAATCCCGGAGTAAACCTCTAGTAACCTGTTATGACTTACGATTGTTGCTCCACATGGTTTACTTGTTCTCATTAGCATCAAATGTAAAATGCATCCATACATCTGCTCTCCTCTCTCTCCCTGACGTTGACATGTCTGTACGGTTTGTGCAGCAAGTGTTTGCTAGCTGGCGTCTCGCTGGATAGATCAGAAGGTTATTATTCAGTTGTTCACGTCTCCCTACTACAGGAAGAGCTCAGGGAACTGGAAGACAAAAGTCACTCCCAGAATTTTCATTTAGTTCCCAGAATTTTTGTTTCGTTTTTGTTCCATTAACTTCTCTATTACTTGATTTTTCCTTTTCGTCACTAAAAACATGCAGATTATGGGGAAAAAAACGATTTTTCATCGCCGAAATGAACACTGTCTATATTGAATTTCCATAAGTTCTATGCCACTCCTGATAACCATATCAATCTAGATGTTTAAAACTACCTATTGAAGATGCCCATAAGATGTACTTACTTAATACAGTGACACTCAGTTATGTGAATATACACTTCCTTGTGTCACAACTCACAGAGCCTGCCTTCTGAACTACAATTCAATGTTTAAACAATATAACATCATTGCTTGCTGGAAGTAATCCGTGATGGGATATGTAGTCTTGAGAAATTGAGATTACATCACTTTAAGCTGCAGGGAAAGAAATGCAAGGTACAATGGGAATTAGGGATGCACCGATACCGATACTAGTATCGATATCGGTGCCGATACCGAGTATTTGGGTGAGTTCTCGTACTCGCCCGAATGCTCAGATGCCTAGCACGAGTACTTCCTGTATCAGGTTTCCTGATTGGCCGTGAAGCGGCTCCCTGCTCTCTCGTCACTTGTGATTAGAGAGCATGGAGCCGACTTCCCGGCCAATCAGGAAGCCAGGCAGCGTGTAATGACGCAGCGCCCGGCATTCTGATTGGCCGGGAAGCTGGCTTCATGCTCCCTCGTCATCTCATGATGAGGGAGCATGGAGCTGGCCTCCCGGCCAATCAGAAAGCAGGGCGTTGCGTCATTACACGGCGCCCGGCTTACTGATTGGACGGTCAGGCGGCTTCGCCTGGGTACCAGAGGAAGGCCGCGTTCTGGCTGGAGAGGCCCCGGGGGTGACAGGTTGGACATACCAAGGTCAGAGGGGACTTTCTTGTTAATCGGGAAGCCGGGTGGCGAGTCTTTACACGCCACCTGGCTTCCTGAATGGGACTTCCGTTACTCGGTAATTGGTATCGGCGAGTACCAAAAAAATGTATCGTTACTCGTACTCGGTACGAAAATACAGGTATCGGTGCATCCCTAGTGGGAATCCAGGAAGTTGGTGATAGTGATGGGCAGACACAAGGCAGCGCTCACTACATTAAAGAGATCTTTTCAAGTAAGCTTTCGATTGCATTATCAAAAATAACTCTAGTATGTATTCCTATTACAATGCTGATGTTATACCAGGATAGTATATGCTGGGACTTTACAACTCCTTTAACACTATGCCAGGGAACCAAGAAACTGGACAGAAACTTAAACTGCAGGCTAAAAAAAAAAAAAGGAATTGATTGAAAACAATAAACAGCAATGGAAAAAAACAATGGAGAAAGTCCAGGACGTCATTGGTGCCAAGCCAGAGGTCAGATGCCACAGCGAGTAGTAACCCAAACCAGGTCAGGGAACACAGAGAGCAGCCGGAGTAAGGAATCAGAAAATCAGCTAGCCAGACAGAGCCAGGGTCATACACAGAGAACAGGAACAACTGCAGAGCACTTGGTAGATCTGGACACACACAAAGGCAGAGACAAAATGGACAAGCTGATGGTTGAATAGTGAGCTGGTGTTGCATCATCACTCCGAGACAGAAGTTTGTTAGTAGTTGCAGAATGATGATGTTTATGGGTTTGGTCATAAGAGGGTGCTAAAGAGGAATGAACAGTGTCAGACACACTGCAACAGAAGAGAGGCAATAGGACAAGGAATGGTAAGAAACCCTGACACCCTATCAGGTTATTTTTTGCTGTCTGTGTTCTGCTGGGGAGATTACCTCCACTTCCTGTCAAGGTCTTATGCACACAAGTGGCTGAGCCCATACAACCAAAATGATGGCGTATTCCCCCCGCCACCTTTTTTTCAAGTGAAACCCGAACACTCTAGCGAGGCATGCACATTTTTTTTGGAGAAAGAGTTACGGCGTATTCATATGTAAATAGCGCCACCCATTTATATGTAAACATCACAGTAGAGACTATTTTCAGTGATGCCTGACATCTTGTGCCCGGGTTTCTGCTGCCAGGAAACTCAGACACAGCATTCAAAACCCAGACTGCCCGGGTCAATCCTGGACAGGTGGCAACTCTATCCAGATCCTGTCTGCTCCAGTTTTGATCAATTATCCCCCCTCCCCCCCCCTGCAATAAAAAAATAAAAAGTCTGCTTGTTTGAACATCTTAGATTGCAAGCTCGTTTGGGCAGGGTCCTCCTCACCTACTGTGTCTATCAATGATGCTTATCAGTGTTTCTTGTCTTGTGCAAAAATTGTACAGCGCTGTGGAATATGTTGGCACTATATAAATATTTGTAATTTAAAGTTCCTCTGTGTGTTAATATGAAATTATAGTGACTGAGTTGACACATACTGTGTAGCCAAGACAATAGTGTATGCGATAACCTTGTCTTGGAGGACCACATGGACTCTCTTATGACAACACTGCGTGTGACAAGGGGGACACCGGGCTCTTATGACGTGCGGTGCACAAGGCAACGGCAAGAAACACGTCATAAGCCGCCTCAGCCACTTGCCTCCCCTCACACTGCAGCACACGCTGACTGACAGGATGGGCGGAGGCGGGAAACGAAACACGCGGCTCGGCCAATCAGGGCGCAGAACACAAGAAACGACCCAGCGTTGTCCTGCCTCTGGACCAATGAGCGGGCGCATTACGTGCGGGTGGTGTGCGTTCCAGTGTTTTGGCCGGAGCCGTGTCTGAGGTGGAGGAAGGAGTGGTGCGGATCGCATCTTGAGCCCGGGGGGAGGAGAAGAAGGAGGCCCGTGTCTTTGTTATTGTTGTGCCTCCCTGTGTCTGCGGGGCGGGGGGTGGGAGGGATGCTCTTCAGGGTCAGCAGTAATAGTCCATTCTGGGCTCCAGCAATATGAAGGATGGAAGAGGACGAGGTGACCATCAGAGAGCAGAACTTTCACAGCCAAGTTAGAGAATGCATTGTAAGTATGAGCGTAACCCGGGCAGCCCTGTCCTCTCTCCTTCATTGTCCTGACACTCTGCCACGGTGACAGGGGGCACCTCCATTATCTGTATAGATGTCAGCACTGTACCTGGAAGTCACAGGGACACTGTCTGTGTCTGCTGAGGATGAGCCTTGTGTCTTATTGTCTGCATGTGCTGCAAATGACAACATAGCGCATGTTTGTAAAAAGGGTCAACATGCGTTTACCAAATATTCACTGCAGGTCAATCTTCCTGGTGCATATGTTTAACCACTAGAAGACCACTGTTACACCCCCTTCCTGTCCAGGCCATTTTTAAATATTTAGCGCAGCGGTACTTTGACTGACATTTATTCCGTCATGCACCGCTGTACTGAAATGGATTTTATACCATTTTTGGGGACAGATAGAGCTTTCTTTTGGTGGTATTTAATCACCACGGGGTTCTATTTTTGACTATATAACAAAAAAAGTACCCTAATTTTTTTTCAGAAAAACTTTTCCCTTTTATTAAGTTATGAAACATTTATTACCCAAATATAAAAGACGGGGTCACGTCGGCTAAATAGACACCAAACACGTCAAGCCTTCAAATTGCGCACGCCCCACGAAATCGCAAAAAATGACCACACCCAAAATTGGCCGTAGGCGACGCTTTAAAAGCTTTTACCGCTCATCATTTTAGTGTTAATAGTGATTGATGTCCCTTAAATGATTGCTCTCATTGTATATGGGCAGCAGAATGAGCGCAATCGTTGTTTTCGCATGTAGGCGCACCAGACACAGGTTTGCGTGTGTATGTTGGGGACTTTTTAATTTTATTTTTTTGGGGACTTTTTTTAATTTTTAACTTTAACTTTGTATTTTTAAATTAACTTTTATTGTTATCACATAGGGGGCTAAGAATTCCTCTATGTGATATCAAATTACAGTGACAGAACCTCTTTAATGAGACATCAGGGTCTCCAAGACCTCTGTCACCTAGGGACCCCAAAGAAGCTGATGAAGTAGAGATCGAGGGGGGGCGCATACATACAAGCGATCGAGCAGCTCTACAGATGCCGGACCGCTTGTATGTAAACAGCCATCACTGATTGTTTCAAATTTTGACAGTGTCCCGCTTGTGCGTGCCATATGCATTGGCACAAAGCACGTTTTAAGACACCCACCCGCATCTAGAAGGCGCCCGTCCGGCCGTTTATGTACGATCGGCGGGTGGCAGATGGTTAAATATACAGGAAATGACTTACCGCCTGTGAATGCCACATTCGCTGCTTCATGAATATGCCCCTTGGTCACTGATTTGTTCGGCTGTTTATGGTCCTATTAAAGCCTTCATCTATTCATAATCTCTTCTGCTGAGATGACGTATTAAGCTGACCATACACAGTGTGGGGAATTTATCAAAACTGGAGCAGAACGAATCTGGAGCAGTTACCCAGGGCAACCAATCAGCTTCTCTCTTCAGTTTGTTCTGTTAAGATTTGATAATGAAAGAGAGAAGCTGATTGGTTGCCATGCACAGCTGCTCCAGATTTTGATAAATTCCCATGAGTGTGATTTCTCACTCTATTCCGTCATCCATGCTATGCAGTGTGGGTGGAGGGATCTTCCCTGCTGGCTGCACCTGCTGCTGCCGAATACCCCAACATTAAATTAATCTGATTGGCTGCGGTCAACATTCGCTCAACAATTTTCCATCCGGCTCCTTCCACAAAAGTTGATAGAAGAATTGACTATTGACGAGTCCAGTGGTGCCGTCCATGAATTTTGTCAGTTTGATCAGGAAATGGCCAAAAGTTAAATTGTATATGGGCCACCTTTACCATAGATGTTACCTCGTCATCTATCAAAATTGTTCTTTCCTCTGGGTTCAGTTAGTCTCTTCAGGGCCTGTTCACACCATCCAATGCATTCAGGGCATGGTTCCGTTCCATGAACGGACTGGATCGCATAAACAAAGCCTCCCCTCATTGTGGGGCGGGAAGGGGCTCCGGAGAGGGACCGATTTTAGAGGGTAATTCCATTTTCCGGAACTGCTTGGGAAGGTGAAATTGCCCTTTAATTTTTTACATGCCCAGAGTTCTTATTATTTCTTCTTCTAATAAAGATGAATGTAAGAACTTGGTCAGTGAGAACGGGGGATACTGTTGTAGCTTGGTCACTGTGACTGTTAGCGCACATTGGGATAGAAGTATAACAATTATTCCCTCATTACAGTTATCTTTCAAGCTGTGCCTGCTAATGAGCATTGCTTCCTGGGGTAGGGGTGACTGATGACATGACTGTCCATCAGCGTATATTATTCTGTGACTCTCACATTATGCTGTTTGTAGGCCGGAAACCCTGGGTGCAGAAGTGAAATGGATGGGCTATGTTCTGACTTCATGGGATTAGAAAGCATAATTGACCTTTCAGACAATTCAGCATGGCTCTGTCTGCACAGCCGCTTCATCCATTCACAGGGATCTGTATATGGAAGGCTATAAGTCCCATCCCAGAGATACTTGTAATTCTCTATGAAGCACAAATGTGGTGATGTCGCTCCACTTTTTTTCTATTAATAACTTACTACAGCCTCATAGCCACCAAAGGTCCGTACCTCAGCACAGACTTGGGGCTGGGGGAACAGTTTGCGGTAGTCTGAGCACTTTACTCACGATCCACTGATCACCGTTGCAATGTTTTACAGGCTACAATGCAAAAAAATAATGAATGCATATTTCTTCTTTCTTCATTGTGTGCATTTGATTTTTTTTCCGCAAGATGGAATATGCCTTTATGTGAGCATTTGCATAATGGTGCTCAGCCAGCGTCATAGCTCCTGGAACCGGTATAGAGATTTTATTTTTAAATGAACTTTGTATTAAATCCCCATACCACTAATTGACATCTGCAGATATGAGGAATCTTTTTTTGTTTTTGTGTTTAGCAATTCCTACTCAGCCTGTCAATGCTTATCACATTTAAACTAAAAAAAGCCCCTCCGCTGTCATGATGTAGTGACAATCTGACACAAAATGTTTCAGGGTGGCAGATTATGGGCTGCATATAGCTTGGAGCATAGCTGCTTCCCCGCTGCAAGCAGATAAAAGTGATAATTGGCTATATTTGGGGATTGGACTTCTCCATTTTGAGACACTCACGTTTTTCATTTGCGCTAGGGTTCTTCTGTAATGATTTTATGTCCAATAAAAATTACCTAGCGCAAAGTATTGCACAAACAAGTATTCACTTTATCTTACTGAGCAGAAAATGTGACAGTATTTCTTATTAGTGAAGCAGGAGTGTGGGAGGAATCCTAATCTTTTCTCTATTACATTTTACTGTGTCTCAGAAACATTTTGAGAGTATTACATGTACAGTAGAAGGTGAAACAGTGTGGAGGAGACCGGGTATAGACCAATCAAAACTTTCCAAATTCCAGACACTCGGAACTGAAAGGAATGTCGGCTGCACAGCATCATTAGTTGCTAGGGTGTTGTCGGCTATACAGTCCATAACGACCAATTACGTTGTGTGACTGGGGGCAGAACATACACTGAGGACCGAGTGTCTGGTTGGGACACTCTGGCCTGAATGTGCCCCCCTTCTCCCAACCATGTCTCCTGGTGTCAAGTTTAAAGTAGCATTAGAGACTGGGCGTTTTTTACTTTAATGCATTCTGTGTATTAGGGTAAAAACCGCCTAGTACCTTTTTGTCTCTGTCTCTTCCCCCCCCCCCCACTCAGCTGTCACTGCCGCTGGTCCCCCGAAGCGATCCTCCTTTCCCTTTTCCTACCGGCAGGTGGATACTGATGGCAGAGGAGGGCATGTTACTGACGTGTACATTAATTTGGTGCAGAGAACGGCCATTTGTTGAGCAAGCATGCGCCAGAATTCAAAAAGATGTGACAGTCTGTATGAATTTTACAGTCTGTTCCTAAATTCAAATCTGGTTTAAATTGTGGGTCGACCGATATGGATTTTTCAGAACTGATACCGATTTATGGGCCACCATTGAGACCAAAAACCGATATCGGGCACCGATATTCTGATTACAGAATATTCCTGTGCTAGCAGTTGAGTGTAAACGGCAGGCAGTTACCTAATATCGGTTGACCTCTACTGAGTCTCTGCCCCCTGCCCCATTCATCTACCGGCGGCAGGATTCTGCAGCTGGCAGCTGAATGTAAACAGGCAGTGCAATAGCCTTGCCCTCTATTGGATAGTTCTAATTGTAATAGCCAATAGCAGGCTGGCTGTTAAACCTGACTGCTGTCAATCAGCAGAGGAGCGCACCTGAAGGAGAAAGTTCTCCTTCAGGTCTTCTCCTCTGCTGATTATACAGCAAGCAGTGGGCGGGTGCAAAAGCCAGCCTGCTATTGGCTATTACAATTTGAAATAGCCAATAGCAGGCTGACTATTGCTTCCTCTGCTATCTGCTTTTTAAAAAAAAAATGTATTCTGACAGCGATCGCTGGCTGCTAACACTTTTGGGAGTGTAGATGCCCCACTCTACTCAGCGGTTCCTCCTGCCAGCAGGTGGGTCGCTAGTCTCCTCTAATAGCTATTGCATTGTGCTGAAAGAAGCCATTTGTTTATGCAACACAAACTGAATAAATCATAGAGCTGACTCATTACTAAAGCGCACCTGTACCCAAACTAGGGATGTTAAACTATTTACAGATTCTTAAATAGTAAAAAGAGCTTTAAAACAAGCATCCCTGACCTCTCTAGCTGCAGGTACTGTGAATAAATTCATTCTGAAAGATCCTCCACAATCACAACAAACAATCTAAAGTTCGGTTTCAGTAACAGCTTAGAAGCGCCTGCTGTGTGTAGGGCTGCAAGAACGAATCAAATAAATCGATAATGAGAATTGTTGGCAATGATTCTCATCATCGATTAGTTGCCATCCGCTCTGCTCCTCTGTTCTCCTCCCCGCTGGTGTTGGCTGCAGCTGTCTGTGTCCTTTTCAATCCCCGCTGCTCTTCCCGCCTGTATCAGGAGAGGCA